ATATACCTAATTTATGAAAATTTATATATAAAGATTAGAACACAATCCTCTGAGGGAAAAAGAAATACTCAAAAACTCATTAAATATACTTTATTAAAAATAACAACATACAAAAACAGTCATCCATGCAAACTGTAATAATCAGAACATTATCCACATTATACCTTTATTAAATTTGTGTCACACTCCTGTCAGGAGAGCCAGAAATGTTTGTTTAACACAACCACAACTATAGGTTTGGAATCGGTACTAAATTTTATACCTAGTAAATGATGCGTCAACTAACAAATATAGGATAAAAAAGAATTATTAATATAGAGTGTACTATACGATGTCCTTCTGCTTATTTATGAAATGACTTTCCTTTCTAATGTGAGGAATACCAGTAAAATAAAACATAATTTCTGGTTTGGTTTGGTGTTTGATATTCTAACTACATCTATTAGAAACCTTAAGCGCTTTTAGTGAGTAACTGTATTTTTTATTATACTTTGTGTATCCTGTAAAGTAAAAAAATATATATATTTCAAGAAATATATAAACAATGCAATAGATATATTATATATTTCAAGTGTTATTTGATCTTGGGTCCCATTACCAACATTACCTTATACTTTTATTACGTTATTGGTAGGTCTTCTCTACTAACTCAACTTTTAAACCTGTTTCTTTATATTTTAAAACTGATTTACAACAATCTGTAATGCCCGCGCTGTTTCCTGAAATATAAGTTTTAATCTATTTATTACCATATACATATTACAAACCTGAAAATTACCGATACGAGGAAACTTCTCCAAATAATTAGAGACCTTTTTACAAACATCTGGACTAATTTATTTTCACGAATTTGTGGACGAGTCAATGCTTTCTAATACGTTTTTAACAACAATACGAACTTTTCAACAATTATGTTTATTACCTTATAAATAGGATAATAAAACGCTTATAAACAAGTTCTAAATACTAACAAATAGGTACTATAAAATAATACGTAAGAAACGGTATAGAGTATTTTTCCAAAATGGTATAGAGTATTTTTGGTATAGAGTATTTAAGAAACGGTATAGAGTATTTTTGGTATAGAGTATTTTTCCAAAAAATCTTTGAGAGTAGTAAGTAATTAAGAGCGCGCCTCGACAGTGTCACAAGCGAGTTCAAAACAAGAAGTGTTAGAAAAAAGAGGTAAAAGTGGACGCGACCCTTCGCGTCCCTTTGCATTTTACGTCACAGTCAAGTGTTTTAAACATATGGCCCGAAATACGGATTAGCGCATTCTTTTGTCCCAGTGGCGTTGCACTCCAACAGATACGACTTAAACCATTCGAGAGATGATCCCCTGAACCCATAGCGCTGCAGTTTATTAATTAGGATCTTATGCTTTACACAATCGAACGCCTAAGAAAAATCACAAAAAATTGTTGCTGTAAAATGATGGTTGTTTAGACTGGAGTAAACTTTAGTAAGGAGGGAAAACATAGCGTCATTTGTGGACTTGTTGCTAATGAAGTTATAGTAATAAACAGTTAAAAATTATTTTCAACAAAACTGCAAATCTTGAATGTGCATAACTTTTTCAAACACAGTGCATGCAAATTTCAAATAGGATCTGCATTTCCTGCAGATGGATCGTTCACATTCGATTTATGCGATTTTTATTTTTTGTCATTTCTTTGTTGACATATGGTTGACATTTACCACTCATACCTTTTCTGGTATTGATTATTCAATTTTCTCTCTTCTATAAGTAAGAGATTCAGAATCGGAGTTATGGTTACTCTTTGGAGAAAAATCAATGTCTCGATGATCTTCATCTCACTTTAGGCCTCTTTAAGTTCATCAAACCACTCAATTAATGCTTCCTCAAAATTAGCGTCTCAGTGGGGCACACTTTTTAAACTACCCACCATCCTAATAATGAAACATTCTTAGCGTGATGGTGCCACACAGACCCCAATGAAGCTTTAGCTCCCGCTGGTAGGAACAATACTTGATAAAATCAAGTGCGCCTTTAACAGTTGCTTATTGGTACCCTAATTTAAAGGTAAATGGCACGGTGAGGCCTAATGAGGAAAATGCATGTTTTTAAATAATGGTTTTAAAAAATAGTTCATATAATTACAAATTGAACAAAAAAAAAATCGTTGATATCGGTTAAGAAATGCCTCTAATATAAAATAATTAAATATTGTTAATTTAAATGGCCGGGCAAACGCTCTCTACCGCGCCTTGCCGCTGTGACGTCACCCGCCGTTCTTCTGCTTGAGTGGAGCCAGACGCGTGTTTATTTTACACAGTTTGCTTTTAAACGCTGTTGAAGCAGAGTCAAAATTTTAGTTATTTGTGTTAATTAATACATAATTACTAATTAGTGATATTTATAAATAGTAATGGATGAGCGAAAACAGAAAAAAATGGTCCAATGCCATGAGAAGAGATGAAAAGAAAAACGTTAAATTATCCTCTATTTTTACGATTTATTGTTGTGAAGATCATTTTGATGTAAGTTCATATATTTATTTATATTGTCTTACATAGGTATATGAAATTTGAATGTACAGGGTTATTCATTATATTTTGACACCCACATACAGCCTGAACTGCAAGTTTTAGAAGAAAACATTAAATAAAAAAGTTGCATGGTTTTTCATATACTCTCTTTTAAAATTAATTCTAGTTATACAGGGTGTCTCAAAAAAGGTGGTCCATTGTAGGTATTTTTCGCTTTTCAACTGTCAATATTTCGTAAACTTTTGAAGATTGGTATAGGATATTATACATGAAATATATCTAGAATATCTAGAAATCTACGAATAATCCAATAATATATAGGGTGTTTCACTTAAAAAAGTAACTTAATTTTGGCGTTTGCTTATTGGACACCTTGTATAATATTTTCATTACTGATAAACCATTTATTTCCTATAATTTCATAAAAAAACAATCTTTAAAAATAACAAGGGTATGGGGGTGTCAATATATATAAAAAAAAACATTCTTTTTCACGCTATGCTCTGGAGTTATTTTTCCACGTACTAAACAAATATTTTTGTCTCTTTTCACTTCTACATAACCTACAGCATTACCTCCATACGTCTCCCTACCTGATCTGAAAAATAAGTTTATAACATTAATATCAGGGACGTAGCAACAGGGGGTGCAAGTGGAGCGGCGCACCAGGGCCCGGGGCCCTGGGGGGCCCGACGCCGCCCTAGCGGCATTGGCTCTTGCAACCCGATTCTAAATTTGACTTTTAGCATTATTTGAGAATATCTGCAGAAATGAAATAAAATTACATTACAATTACCTGTTCAGGTATTTCACCACATTACTATAAGACCGATCTTTTAATAATGGCTATTATTAAATCGATTGAATAGTACATCCCGAGTTTCTTCTTTCAGAACAAAAAAGCGCGTCATAAGTGCAATCTTAATTTCGCACGCTGGCGCTGTCAAATATCGGTGTGATTCGCGGTAAATCGTAATATTGATATTTTTTACTTTTTGAAGTGAGTTTTAATATTATTTATTAGTGTAAGTGTAATTACATTAGGGGTTAGCCTGAAGCCTGACTGTAGTAACTTGGTAATTAATTTTTAGTCATTTTATAGAAACGGCGGAATGTTTAGATGGACGTTTAATAATGATAATACTATTAGTGGCTATTTTCAAAATACTTTAAAATTCTTTACAACTGTTTGTTTGTTACGGCTAAAAATAAAAAACACATTTTTACGAAAAGAAGAGAAAACATTAGAAAAAAGTAGTACTTGGGATAAAACTAAGTTCTTTTTACCCATTTCTTGTCTGAAAAATGGACGCAATCCGTTAAATTAAAAAGTAGTGTGTTTTTTAGTTAATCTGTTACAAAAAAATAAAAATCTATGTGAAAATTGCCATTAGATAACTTTTTAAGTTAAAAAGTTATCTAATGACAAAAAAAATTATTGGTGTCATGAATAGGGTGTCCCATAAGTCATGGATCAAATTTAAATAGGAGATAGGGGAGGTTATTTCCAACAAAAAAAGTGCTATAAACATGTATCCTAAAATGCCTGGTTTTCAAGATACAGGGTTATTGTTGTTTCTTTACACAAAAACTTCTTTCAAGTTCAAAAACAAGAGACCATTTTTGACAGCAACTAGTAAGAGGTTACGAAAATAATTTTTATTTTGGAAAAAAAGCAGTGGCGTACCGTTTTTTCATTGAATAAAATTGTAATTTTTCACTTTCAACACCCTGTATCTTGAAAAGCAGGTATTTTAGGATACATGTTTATAGTTTTTTTTTGTTGGAAATTACCTCCCTTATCTCCTGTTTAAATTTGATCGGTGACTTATGGGACACCCTATAAAATACCTAAATTTTAAGTTGTCTAGTTTTGCATTCAGCTGCGATATGAGTCAGTACAAACATTTGTCGGGAGCTGAAAAGCGAAAACGGAAAGAAACTGAAAAACGTGAAAGGGAAAAACTTCCTAAATTAACTTCCTTTTTCCATCGTGTTTAGAAAAATACAGTTGAATTATCTGAATTGTCTGAACCTGAAAATAAATACGATCAGGATGACCCCGGAATACCTCTATCACCGAAGTCAATTACAATGAGTATTGCAAAAGAAGAAAACCATGAGTCAACCACAATTTCTTCGACTTCCCTATCTGTATCTGTTTCACAAACAACGGTTTCACATCTCAGTACCGAAAAGAGTAATTTCAGCAGTATTCTCAGCGATTCGAATAAAAGATTTATAGCAAAATACGGACCATGTCAACTAGAAAATATGCAATTTCCTAAAAATGCTAATGGTCGATCGTTCAGTTTGGCGTACTACAACCAACGATCCAAGTCAGGAATTGTATACAGAAAAAATTGGCTGTGTTACTCACCAACATTGGATGTAGCTTACTGCGAACCTTGCTGGGTTTTTGGAGACAGACTCAAGGATCATTAAATTGGCTAAATGGATTTAATGGCTGGGGTCAAATTTCTCGGAGTATGACTAAGCACGAATCTTCTAACAATCACATTTCTGCTTGCCTGATATATAACAAATGGAATAGCGATCAAGTATTGGACACGGACTTGGATAAAACGCTGAAATTTAAAAATAATTATTGGATTAAAGTTTTGGAACGAGTTATTAACGTCACATTGACTTTGGCTAAAAATAATGTATCATTCAGAGGAGACAATGAATCGTTATATCATGGCGATCACAATCGTGGCAACTTTCTAAATATTATTGAGCTATTGTCAATTTATGATCCAGTTTTGAAAGAGCTTTTATCAAAAGATAAAAAATGTGTAAAATATTTGTCGCCAACCATTCAGAACGAAATTATCAACCTCTTAGCCAATGAGGTAAAAACTGAATTGATCAGTCAAATAAATGAATCTCCATTTTTTTCAGTAATAATGGACACAACTCAAGATATTTCAAAAATTGATCAAGTGAGTTTTGTAGTGAGATATGCCGACTTCATCAAGGATAACGACAATGTTATTCGTGATGTTGTTATAAGGGAAGTTTTTCTAGGGTTTGAAAAATGTATGGGGCAATCTGCTGAAGACATGGTGAAACAATTATTATTATTCTTTGAAAAGAATAATTTGAGCTTTGAAAGACTACGAACTCAAGGCTACGATGGTGCGGCTAACATGACTGGCGTCTACAATGGCCTGCAGGCCAAAATTTTGGAAAAACAACCCAACGCGTTATATGTATACTGTGCTGCACATAATCTAAACCTAGTTATCAATGACTCTGTAAAAATTTCAAGGGAGTTACAAAATTTTTACGATTTTGTAGAAAGTCTTTATGCATTTTTTGCACATAGCATAAAACGATGGGCAGTATTGACGGAAATGTTCGAATCCAAGAAGCACACATTAAAACGATTTGCCCAACGCGATGGTTGTCTCGTTATGATTCTCTTCATAGCTTAAGGTTTCACTATCGAGAAATTTTACAAGTTTTGACAAAACTAACCCTAACAAGCTCGAAAACAACGGAACAAAATGAAGCACTGGGATTAAAGAAAAAACTGGAAAATTTTGAAACAGTTGTATTGATAGTGATTGAACATAAAATATTAAGTATCACAAAGCTTGTGTCCAATGCACTGCAGAGTAAAAACCAAGATATTCAAAGAGCGTCAAAACTTTTGGAAACTGCTAAGAAAGACATTGCAGAAATGAGGAACAGTTTTGAGGAAGTTATTAATGAAGCAGCTGATTTAGCTCGTGGTTGGGAAATCAATCCAAGTTTTAAAGAACACAGGATCCGCAAAGTGAAAAAACAATTCGATGAGTTATCATGTGATGAACGATTATTCAACGCCAAAAAACTTCCGTGTGTCGGTGTTTAATATAACGTTGGACGTTATTATATCTCAACTTGAAAATCGATTCAAAGGGTTAAATAGCGTAGTTGAAAGATTTAAAGTAATTTTTCCTTCGGTCTTGAGAGATCATTCTGATGCTGATTTGGTCCTCCTATCTGAAAACCTGATCAGCTTTTATTCCTATGATCTATCATATTCATTTTCGCAAGAAATTGTAAGTTTCAGGCGAGTTTACAAAGATCAAATAAATGCAGACATTTCAGTTAATGACTTGTCGAAGTTAGTTATTTGCGATCAAATGATCTCCAGTTCATTCACAGAAATCTGCTGTGCTTTTATCCTTTTTCTAACAATTCCTGTATCGGTAGCGACTTCCGAAAGATCATTTTCAGTATTAAAATTAATTAAGAATTATTTAAGAAATAAAATGTCGCAGATCAGACTCTCCGGCTTGGCAATTTTATCAATAGAAAACGAGACAGCCAGAAACTTGAATCTTAATAGAATAATTTCATTGTTTGCCAATCAAAAGGCAAGAAAGGTAGATTTTTTTTCAGCATAAATAACTATAAATTAGTTAATAAGTAATAGTTTTTTAGTTTTATATTTTTGTTACTACATTTATTACTACTCCCCATACATTTTTGTGCAATAAATGTGTTATTTCATTTTCATTGTTTTTTTTATAATGAAGAAAAGGGCCCGCTGGTGGTCTTGCACCAGGGCCCGGGTTCGACTTGCTACGTCCCTGATTAATATCTATAACTATATAAAAGTTCGTAACAGTAGGTACCTACTTATACTTAAATATGCCTCAGTACTACAAAGAGTAAATGTTACATGCCTCTCTGTTTTCTTCCTCGTAATTCAGCACCAATAAATTGGGAATTTGTATTTATAAAAGCAGCCAACATAAAAGCATCGACTTTTGGAAGTTATCTGATTGTGCTTTTGCAAACCCGGAATCTGCGATTACTTAAAACATTCTCAGAACACACAACACATACTGCACAAAAAAGCATAAAAAGCCTTTTCAATCAACGCTAAAAGCAACAAAAATGTCACCTAAATACGTACATAAACGGAACACGTCTGGCTGCTGCTGGCCATCGCGCGTCGACGAGAACGGCGGGTGACGTCAGACCAATAGAATATCGTTTCAATTCGCGAGGCGTCGTTTGCGTTATCCATAGTATTTTAATGGCCCGTTTTATAAAATTGTGGTACTGCTTCCAAGAAAAAAGTTTTTTTTTGCATTTACACATATCTATTCTAATAAATTGAACAGTTTCTGGCGAAAAATAAAATATATGCATCTTCCTCATTCATAAACGTAAACATTTTACAGAGGTTTAAATAGTGCTTGCACCACGCCAGAGAAAAAAAATATAAAACAGACCAATTTCCACCGCCCTGTTCAATACAAATTTGAATGTATTTTATGCATTTAATTTTACTGATCCTTATTTCGCATTCATTATTTAAATAGAAAAACAATTTATTTTCCATTAATCCTATATGCAATTTGACGTGTTTAAAATATCATTTAATAAACTATCTATGATAGTGATTTTTGCATTTAAATTTATTTTGCGTTACAATTTTGAATAAATACTTTGTCAGGGATCAATTATGGATTCAAAAATAATCCTAAATATTGTAATATTATATAACATGTTAAGGTTTATTGATATTGAATTTATATCAGCAGAGCGAAAAGTGGTAAATATAATTTTGTTTTTATAATTTAAATATAATTAAATATATTGTGAATAATCATAACGTTTAATGATGGAAGACGATAAGTAAATTTATTGAATTGATATCTTAACAATTCACTAGTGAGTTGCACATCCAAAAAGTTTCAATATTCTGTAGCTCTTCGTGGCATGCTACGAATCAAATGATCGGTCTCTTTCTGTGTAGGCCAGTGCAAATAATTTTGAATTTGCAAAAATTTTTAGAAAGCTGCGACCATTCAAAATAGTTAGCATTAGTAACCCTTATTATCATATTAAACCAAATCAAAAAAAATCGGCCGCCATCTTGAATTTTGGTACTTTTTATGAAAAAAATGTAAATAACTCGAAAACGGCGCATTATAGCGAAAAACTTCAAGAGATAAAAATTAAAGAGAATAAAAACCTCTATCAGAATCAATAAAAAATAGTTTATTATCCTAACGCAGTGACGTACAAAAGTTTTTTGAAAATCGAGCAATTTTTAAAAGGAATCACCGAAATGTAAATTAATAATTTTTTAAGCTTATTAACAAATAACATGGATATTTAGCATTAATTCAACTAAAATACAATCCTTGTGACATTTTCAAAATTAACAAAAATTGTAAAAGCTATCCTTTACTAAATACATGTGTACTAATAATGTGCGAAAGCAGCCCCCACTTTGTCCCGGTCGGGGCTATTTGCACTTAAAGTTTCTTTAGTTTTTTGTTATCATTTTGTAAACAACTTGTTTTTAAAAATACAGTGACAGTTTGAAAAATTAGGCTACAGGTTGGAAGAAAAAAATCAAATGTAGAATTTAGAATTTAGAATGAGTGGGAGGGGGGTTAATCACTTCGACCTTACAGATCCATTGTGTCCCCCTTTCTTGAATCATAACTCATCATACAGTCCCAGGGCTTTGGCAAAAGCCAGTATCTGGGACGGTTTTATAGAGGGTAGTTCTCCATCTCCAATATCAGTCGTACCAAAATTCATGGCACGAATGGTTGTCGTCTCGGCGCACTCAGTGATGAGGTGTACTGGTGTTTCACCATCTTCCCCACAGAATCTGCATTTGCCGTTTCTTCTTAGTTTCAATCTACTGAGATGTTCATTGAGGAGACAGTGTCCTGTTAAAAACCTCGTGACAATCCGAAGATTGTTCTTACTCAGACCCAGGAAGATCTGTGATTTTTCTTGATCATAAGCCCTCAGAAACTTCTTCGAGAGTGTTCTAGACCATTGCAAGATTTCCATTCCAGGTTGCGGATGGAATCTTCCATGTTCTTGAGTTTCGCCTTGAGTTGGTTACCACTTGGAAAGCAGAACGGTTCTGGTCCAGTTAGTGGAGTGTTCGCTCCTTTCCTAGCTAGATTATTTGCTTTTTCATTGCCTTCTATCCCTTGGTGAGCAGGCACCCAGTGTAGGAGGGCTTTGTTTTCTTTGCCTAATTTATTCAGCTTCTCTATGCATTCTTTGACCAATTTCGAATTGATTGATACTGAGTTGATCGCCTTTAACGCTGCTTGACTATCAGATAAGATGGCTATTTCTTGTTTCCGATAGTTCCTATCTAAGATAAGTTGTACGCATCTCTCGATAGCGTAGATTTCTGCCTGTAGGATGCTAGGGTAAGTGCCCATTGGTTCGGAGTAATTAGCTCTCGGCCCAAACACTCCGATCCCTGTTCCCGTATTGGTTTTGGAAGCATCAGTATACCAAGTTATGGTATGGTCTTTTAACTGCTGGGCAAGCGTTTCGTTCTTCCAATCCTTCTTATTGCTCAATACTACATTGACATGTTTGTCAAAGTTGTACGTTCTTGGCATATCGTCCACTGGGAGTTGCAGGAGTAAATCAAATGTAATAAAGTACTTGCCAGAGAGAAACTAATAACTAAAGTGAGAGGGCTTGTGGAATAGGGCATTTCGTAGACAAGTTTATTTTGTCACCGCGCATCCCAGACGCGCATAGCGTTTAGGCGGTGAAAAAAGGAAGTTTTCAACTTTGCAAGTTAAACATTTGACAGGATTAATTAGATTGTCAGTAGCTTTTTCTATTTCTTAGTTCTAGAAGGAGATAGATAGACTAAAATCTGTTGATAATCGGAGCAAATCGGAATAATAAATTGTTTTTAACTGAATGTGCCTGTTCTTTTAGCTTGTCAGAAGAGAAGATTATTGTCATTATTGATTATTTCAGATTTCACGATTATTCGGCATTTTCGTAATTTTTGTTTTGTGGTTGAGGCCCAGACAAAACGTTTCCTTTAAGGGTAAGTTTTATCTCGGTAATTATTTTAACATACCTAATAGTAATAGTGAGTGCACATAATAATCGTATATTGCTTATTATATTTACTTTTTTGATACCTATGGAACTACTAGGTATTATACCTGGTATTATTTCCAGTAATACAAATTATTTTCTTCAACTGCTAGGCTCTTGTTATAGAATAAAGACTATCAAAAACATTGAATACCTACGGGATACCTACTGATACTCTGTGCGAGCTTCCAACTGTGCTTCCCTGTTCACTCCCAACCAAGTTAGATAAAAAAGATACTGAAGATTGCAGCCTTGAGTTGGAGCATGGCAAGGAGTATGGAATTAAATAAATTATTATGTTCCTACACAGTATTTTATTTATAGGTTTTAATGCTTTAAAGTCTAATAATACATTTTCGTTGTCAACAAAATAATCTAAAAAAACTACGAAGATTTCTTATTATAAACTTGAAAGATTAAGATTCGGTTCAAATATACAAATTTTAAATTTTTGGCGCCAGTATATAGGTATGAATGCAACCTACTATATCGATAATGCGCTCATAGTTCGTGTTAGACACCAAAGGCCGCGCTACCAGCACAGTCTTCAAAAATTAACGTTGATCGGTCTCTCTCACTTTAGTTATTAGTTTTCTCTCTGGTACTTGCCAATGTCTTTTTGACATAAATATCATCTACGATCTTAACATTTTTTCATTATGATAAATACATTATAAACATACCCCTACAAAGCGAATAACAATAATTCAAATTATGACCATTTTAAAAAAAAAATGTGTTACCAACTTGTAACCTAACTTTTCAAACTGTCATCTTTAAAAAAAAATGAAGTATACAATTTTATTCGATTTGTTCTTCATCAACCGATATTCGTTGTCCCAAGAAATACCATTACAGTTACCACACAAGCTTGAACATAGCATATTGGATTTTAAACATGTATATAGTTTATTACATCCAGATTTGCAATTACAGTAAATCATTTTCTCATTTTCAATACAAAACAGCGTTTGACACTTTGTTTGATTGTTGCCTCTTTACTTTTGTAAATAGGTCCTATAATAATGATTTTTAGCTGCGTTAGTTGTTGGAGGTAATGTAGTTAAATCAAAATTTTTACTAAGTACCTGACGAGATTATTAGTACCTGACGAAGTATATTTATAATAGGTACCTCAACCGATCTAAATCTTTTGCTAGCCTATGTCGATCATATAATGAAAATAAGAATGTATTTCCAGCTTCGACTAGCTCAGATTTTTGTGCTGCAGGATCTAAAACAACGGATGTAATTTGTCGCAGATGAGGATCTTTTTGCAACGTTTTGAAAGTCGCTAGTTTACCTTTTTTAAACAAGCACGAGGTTGTATCACATCCTGATATAGCATGTACAAATAAGATTGAATACTTCATGTCACCAATCTTGTTCTGCATATTACCGATGTCACTTACTCTATGAGGTTTGGACGATTTTCTCCGGGCCGAAGCAAAAAATAGAATTTTTTTGTAACGATAATGCAGTAATAAAACTAATAAACCAGTATCTGTAGCCTAATTTTTCAAACTGTCACTGTATTTTTAAAAACAAATTGTTTACAAAATGGTAACAAAAGGACCTTGCTTTAAGTGCAAATAGCCCCGACCGGGACAAGGTGGAGGCATCTTTCGGACATTATTAGTACACATGTATTTAGTAAAGGATATCTTTTACAATAAATTATAATTTTGAAATATTATTAAACCACCAATAAATATTTCTTGAAAATGTCACAAGGATTGTATTTTAGTGGAATTGATGCTAAATATCCATGTTATTTGTTAATAAGCTTAAAAATTAGTAATTTGCATTTCGGTGATTCCTTTTAAAAATTGCTCGATTTTCAGACATTTTTGTACGTCACTGCGTTAGGATAATAAACTATTTTTTATCGATTCTGATGAGTTTCTTATTCTATTTAGTCTTCACCTCTTGAAGTTTTTCGCTATAATGCACAGTTTTCGAGTTATTTACATTTTTTCCCAAAAAGTACCAAAATTCAAGATGGCGGCCGATTTTTTTTGATGGCGCACACACCGGGCAAATGGGGACTTTTAGTATGTTAATAAGGGTTACTATTGCTAACTATTTTCAATGGTCGCAGCTTTCTAAAAAATTTTGCAATTTCAACAGGGTGAATGTCATAACTGCGCTGGGGTAGTGGTAGTTTCTCCCAAGCCAATGTTACTTCGTGACGTAGGTATTCTACTAGACATCCAGCATAAGATGTGGTCCAACTCCGTCTACCTATCACATTACAGTCAAGTTCAATAGGTTATTCATCCAGGGGATTGAAAACATAGGAAAGGCTGGCAACTGGGTACCGGAAGGACGCTATGAACCCGGATGTATATTTATTAGGGTGGTCTGAACTGTATTCCGGAAACTTCAGCAACATATTCTGCAGATAAAAATAAGCAAAAAAGTTCTTATAAGTGTATGTCCTAAAATACTTAGTTTAGGAGATACAGGGTGTAGAAGTTTCATTTTATATCGATTTTTTTCAAATAATTTCTGAAGTATGATCAATATTTGGATTAAAAATGGTATCTGGGAGTTTTTTAACACGGGAAATTTGATTTTGATGTCAATATGACTCCTACTTGTAGAGGGCGCCATCTACATATTTTTTAACTGGTTAGAAGAGTAATAACTTTTCGTCCATACCTGTATAAAAGTACTGAGTAAAAAAATATATATTTAAGACGTTTTTTAGGTAAAAAATGTATCTTTGTAAAAATCGCTACGAGTAATGGTTCTCGAGATATTTGGAATCTAAATTACCAATTCCTGTCATCATTGACATAAATTATATAAGCATGTTGACTAAATAGTTAATGGACTGAAATCATAAATTTAAAAAGTTTTTGTACTAAAAGTTCAACGGAAACTGTTTTATCATCATTTTTTCGAAAAAAATATGATTAATTTAAAAAAAAACAAAAGTTCCCAAATTTATCATTTCAGTCAAGTAACTATCTACTCAACACGCTTATTTTATGTCAATAATGACATGTATTGATTATTTCCATTCAAGAGATATTTTTTTACGTAGAAAGTCACGGAAATGTATATTTTTTTACTCAGTAGATTTATACAGGTACGGACGAAAAGTTATTATTCTTAAAACAAAACACATATAGGTGGCACCCCCTACAAATAAGAGTCATTTAGACATCAAAATTAAATTTCTCATGTCAAAAAAACTCCCAAACACCAATTTTTATGCAAATCTTGACGTTACTTCAAAAATTAATTGGAAAAAATTGAAATAAAAATGAAATTTCTACACCCTGTATCTTCGAAAGGAACTTTAGGACATACAAGAACTTTTTTGCTTATCTTTATCTACAGAATATTCTGCCGAAGTTTCCGGAATACAGTTCGGACCACCCTGTATATGTCCTAGACTCTTTTTAAGCATTAAAATGCGCAGCACTTTCAACCTCAAAATTTTATTAGAATTACTAAAATTATTTGAAAGAATATTATAAAAAATCGAAAAAAAGGAACTCCCTGTAGCAGAATCAGACCTATGTTAACATAAAAAAATCTTATTTTTGCGTGAGGAAACTCCCCACGAGAGATGGCACATTTTTTTTTAAACATCTTGTATATATGTAGTTTTATATTTAAAGTTTTCTATACCAAGAACAAGAAAACAAAGCTTATATGAATTATTCAAAGACTTCGTTGTCATCTGACTTATTTTGATTTTGTTTGCATTTTATTTGTTTCAGAAACAATCTTATCGCATCTACCAATTAGTCGATGGTTGCCCAGAAGCTAAGGGATTAAAACTACCAATGCAATTGAAAAATGTTAAGATAGAATTAAAAAATAACACATATAAGATTTTCTTCGACGTAGTCATCAATGAAGACATTCCTGAAGACTTTAAGGTAATTACCATTCTTAGTAACTTCGTAAACTTACAAGTGAATAATTAGGAAAAATTTGTCAAATTTTAGTCAGAATTTCAAATAATGAAATGCAAGGATAAGGGCTCATTAGATTCTTGCGAGAAATACCATAAAATACCTATTCCATATACCTGTAAACTTTTGAATGCCAATGGTCCTTGGTTAAGTTATGTTCAAGCTATGAAACCACCTCTAGAATGTCCTCTAAAAAAAGTAGGTATATTGAATGTAGATTTCTTCGGGTATATATAGAGGGTGAAGTTTTAAAAAATAAGTGCAAATATTTTCAGGGCTGTTAGATCTCGATAAAAGGAACATATTTTCTCTTTGTCGTTTTTCAAATAAGACCAAAATAGTTATTTTACTTTAAAATAAAAAAAATATATTTTATGCTTCAATTTTGAGAACCATTGGACATTTTCTGTTTTTTTTCTTTCCTCTAAATATTTTGCCATATATTGCCATATGCTTTTTTTAAATGAAAATTGAATATAAATCCAATTTTCGTTTCGGAAAATACTTCTGAAAATAATATTTTTACATACAATTTATTAAATTAAACAATACAGTTTTTGAAATTAATAATATATTTTCAAAAAACTCGTAGGCGCATTTCAGGTGTTTTTCCCTCTCTATAAGAAGTTAAAAACTAGCTCATTCTTGTTGAACTGTTCCTGGCACATTTTTTTTTAAACATAGCTTCTTATGTGTTGTTACTACCAACTTAACCAACTCAAATAAGTGCCAAATATTTTTAGGGGTTGTACATTTCGAACCCAGAAACACGTCTATGAGTTTTTTTACGCGAAATTTTTTTTCAAAAATTTGAAATTTTTTGAAAAAAATTTCAAATTCCGTCTAGAAAGTATTTCCTAATTTTAATGTATTTTTTTTTCTGCAACACTCTAAGACAAAACAGTAATCCATCACGTAGGTTGTGCCGATAGTAGGCTATGACCAAAATCGCATGGCAACACCATCTGTCAAATAGTGTTGATTGTAAACCGGCTTAAGATTTGAGAAATAATGTCGCAAGTAAAAAAAAAGAGAAATGGTGGAATATTTGTATAGAAGAGGTGTTCGAAAAGTTAAAAAAATTAGTGCATTGACTGAACTCGGAAAACGTGCAGTATATGAGTCAATAAAAAGGATAAAAAATGGCATAGATATGAAGCATGGACCAGTTTCAAGAAGATCGTGTACGATTCGCAAAAACAATTTAAACCCAAGGCGTTAAACGCTATATACGGGAGCTATTATTATATTATATTCTTCTTGAAACGGCTCGTGTTTTATATCCAGAGGGGTGGCGTTTTCAGCAGGATAATGCAAGATGCTATACGTCTGCCTATACTCAGCTTGGATGCAAGAACACCATTTGGCAACAATTCCATAGCCAGCAGCTTCACCAGACCTTAGTCCCATTGAAAACATATGGGGACTAATAAAGATTGAAGTGGAACGAGCAGCTCCACGAAATAAACAAGATTTGATTCTCTCAGTTTTACAGGCCTGGACTACCGCCACTGAACATTATGGTGTGGACCTAGTTTCGGGTGTACCTGGACGTTTAGTTAAGTGTTTGGAGTTAAATGGAGGTTGTATAAGTAAATAAAATTAATAATTTGTTACAATTTTTTTAACTCAAGTCCTAAAAATATATATCGATAATTGTAATTTTGCTTTCTATTTTCCGGATACTTTCTAGAGGGACATATCTTGATAATATGGAAACATAGGGAAACCCATTAGTACCATAGACCTAAAATAAAATATAGACTACACTATTTACATCTAAACGCGGTCAAACAATCTTTTTTGTACACATGTTTACTTCTGGGTACAGTCGACCGAGCCTTCCTCATCCAGGCTATGTTGTCACGTCTTTAATATTATCAATATTTTTTTTCTTGTTATACACATATATTGAGATATTAATACTACATTTTAATAAAGTAGGTTTTAATATTCCATAGATTTATTAAATAGTCCTTATACTACTAAATTATAAGTCGGATACTATTTAAGAAGGATACGTTCTTTACAATATGGCAACACCGATTAGAGGCGAGGTCGCCTATTCATTCATTTATTACCTTGTAGTACGCGTCGCACGTGTGCGGTAAAGCTTTGTTGCCGCTATGTCCCCGGCTGTGTTAACGCATTTTCTTAGCTTGTAGTCCTTAAGTGTTTATTTTATTTACTTTTTCTGTTCAAGAACTATAAAATATTATAAAATATTAATTTGACTTATATAATCCATTTAAGTCTTGAAACTACTTTCGACCGATAGGCAACTCTCAATTTACCCATTGGGAGTCAGTGGCGTTGTTGTAGAAAGGCGCTTATTTAGATAATATTTTGGTAAAAGGTAATTTTTTTTTCTTACATAAATTTTTCTTTTACATATTTTTTTTACATAATCATTTATATAAAGGTTTTTGTAACAAAATCATAATTATTATAACCCTGTTAATAATTAATAATGTTTTTATTAAAAATATATTCCGGTTTATTCTAAAATTGTCTTCAGAATCTAAAATAACATACAAGAATTTTAAAATGATATTACATTATGAAACAATATTTTTTAATATACCGGGTTTGTCTCAAAAGTGGCTCACCCCTATAACTTTTTTATTTTTTTCAGATAGAAAAACATATTTGTATGGTAGTAGGTATATGACATAAATTAGGATTGATTGACGTATTCAATTATTGTTGGTCTCTTCGTGTTTCACCGGAAATGATTACATCTTTTGATTTTTAAAAGCACCCTCGGTATATTGCTACTTTATTCGATAAAAAATGATACTCTGAATAGAATGACATTTCATATGTCATTCTATTCAGAGTGTCATTTTCTATCGAATAAAGTAGACATATTCCGAGAGTGCCATTTAAAAATTAAAAGTTATAGTAATCACATGAAGTGATCAAAAACAATTGGATGCGTCAATCAATCCTAATTTATGTCATATACTAACATACTAAATCTTGTTTATTTATTTGAAAAAATAAAACAATTATGGGGATGAGCCACTTTTGGGACGCACCCGGTATAATAAAGACAGTACCGAGTTAAATAAATGTAGTTTTCATTTTATCCACTTCCTATCACCTTCCTTGCTTTAATGGAACAGATTTATGTTTTCTCTAATTTACATAAGACATCACTTAACCAGAAAAAAAATACAACAATCATAACATTTTTTTCTCTCCCTGTCGGCGATTCTATTATATCTGTAAAATAGCAGATCCTGTTTTGATTAATATTAGGGGTTGTAAATGTTTGACTAAAATTAATATTTTTTTAATAATTTCAAAAATTACGTAATATCTATTATAAAATTTCTTCTATAACATGTATTTTATTATTTTTTATCCTTTTTGGACTCTAAGACGTTTTTTTTCTAAACTTTTATTTAAAAAAACCTCTCCTATATCTTAATAAAATATAAAAAAGTTTAAATACGATATATTTTTAATTTAATTATAGCTTCATTAAAATAAAAAAATTACCCGGCTATGATACAGAGAGTTCAGGTGTACTTAGGAAACGAAAGACAGTGTTGCGTTTCTCGCCAGAGTCGTCAAGGAACGACCGTTATGACAGAGACAACCTATCTATCGCTCGTGTCGCACTCGTTATAACCTAAAACAATAATACAACAATAACAAGACATTGTCTGACCGCATGTTCCAGCTATTTATGAATGAGATGCTCAGTCTATATTTTATTTTAAGTCTATGATTAGTACAATCAAGTAGTCAATATTATTTACAAGAAAGAAAACTCGGAAATGTTAAAAATTGTTAAAATATCTTGGTTATTTTGGACTGATTTGAAAAAACGATAAAGATAAAATATATATCTCTTTTATCGGGATCTAGCAGCCCTGAAAATATTTTCACACTTATTTAAGACTCACTTCTTTTATATTCTAGGGAGCTTATAAGTTATCGCAAGGTATAAGCGCAGACGTCCAGGAAATGGCTAAACTTCATTTCGTAGATGGAAATTTCTTTAGAAACTCTATAATGTGTTTTGGACAGAAATCAAATAAACTTATATTTTGTGCGTCTAATGAGATACAACTTGCTTAATTAATTCTAGTAACTGATTCTAACAAAACAATATTTTTTTTATTTTTCGTTAGGAAATAAACTGAAGTACCTAAAGTAACATTTTTCTCTATCTTTCCCTGCATCACGATACATTTCCCTTTCCTCCCTTAACCCCGTTAAATATAAATAATTATTATGGCGTTGTGGCAAGTTCAGTTCTTGAAAAAAAGCCTGCGTCGCGTCGCCACCTCAAGAGAAACTTAAAAAATAAAAAAAGTTACATTTTTAAACAACACTTTGTAGAATCGTTAAAGAATAGAGAAGATACGCAACCTAATGGATGAATTCGTGACAAAGCTGATTTTATTCCCTTTACGTCTCAATTGCTGTACGGTGGAGTCATCACTCTTTCTGCGGCTAACGCATTAAAAAATCATTTTTTCTAATTCGGCCAGCGAAAATTAATCGAAGATGGTATGGATCTGAAAGCGACAGTGTTGGTATATTCAATGTGTAATACTCTGATCATGAAGCAGTTTTACCTGAATTTTCGATAAAGTCCGAAATCAAAAATGCCCCTCCTAAATTATGCCGTATTTTTTCAGAAGAGAATGCTTAAAGGTTCAGCCACTTTTGTAAAACAACCAACTGGGGTACTAGCTCTTATGATGTCGATACCGAATTTTCTATTTTCGTTCAAATCCTTTCCTCTTAGGCCTATCAAAAATAAGCATAATAAACCTTGGACCACTAAAGGTCTACGCATATCTTCTAAAAACATGCGTTCATTATCTCACTTAAAAAAATTTTCAGATAGTGTCTTCTTACACAATTACGTAAAACTATACAGAAAAATTTATCATAAGACTATAAGAGCCGCTAAGGACCTTTATTATAATAGGTCAATTCTGGTAATGTTGCTAAAGAAACATGGTCTATTGTGAATGAATTGAGAAACAAAGCTTTTTCGTCTAGCAATATCTCTACCTCACCTGAGAACCTTAACGATTACTTTGTAAATGTAGCGAAAAACTTAACTAATACCATATGTCCTTCTCATGATCCACTTTCTTATCTCTCTAATGATAATGTAAACTTACACAATTTCTTTTTTACGCCCGTAGTTTTAGAAGAGCTTCGCAGTACAATTAATACCATCAAAAATAAATCCTCTTCTGAGACCGACGGGCTAACTTTAAAAATGTTTTCGAATCTGCCAGAAAGCACTCTGAATCACCTAACAACTTTAATAAACATGTCAGTCCAAAATGGTATTTTTCCAAAATGTCTTAAGATGGCAATAATCATTTCTCTGCATAAAGGAGGAGACAAAGATGAAGCTTCTAACTATCGCCCAATTGCACTCCTTCCAACGCTATCTAAGATCATAGAAAGGTTGGTTAAAAGAAGGCTGGTATCTTTTCTGTTTAAGTACCAAATACTTACTGAATATCAATTTGGATTTCTAAGCAACAAGTCCACAAATGACGCTATGTTTTCCCTCCTTAATAAAGTTTACTCCAGCCTAAACAACCGTCATTCTACAGCAACAATTTTCTGTGATTTTTCTAAGGCGTTCGATTGTGTAAATCATAAGATCCTAATTAATAAACTGCAGCATTATGGGTTCAGGGGATCATCTCTCGAATGCTTTAAGCCGTATCTGAGCAACAGAAGTCAACTTGTGAGGGTGGATACCACGTTGTCTTCTAGCAAGCCAATAGAATGTGGAGTACCACAAGGGTCAGTACTAGGCCCTATTTTGTTTCTTCTTTTTATTAACGACATTGCTAACATAAACATCAGTGGCAAAATATGTCTTTTTGCGGACGACACTAGCTTCACTTGGAGCAACAAGGTCATCACGGCACTTTATAGGATTATATCAAATAACTTAATCACCATTAAATCTTGGTTCGATTCAAACCTCCTGAGTCTCAACATTTCTAAAAGTAAAGCTTTGTCGTATAAAAACTCGTTGCAGCCTTTTGTACTTCACAACACCACCATTGATGTCGTAAAATCTGTAAAATTCTTAGGGCTTGTTGTGGAAAATTCTCTGAAATGGGACATACATATCGAAGTTTTGTCTAAAAAAATGAGCTCTGCCTGTTTTGCATTAAGGTCTGTTTCTAAGGAGCTTAACTTGTCAATGGCTAGAGCTGTTTATTATGCACTTTTTGAGTCGCACCTCAGGTATGCCCTTCCATTCTGGGATACGTGTTGTGCGACTCAATTTGACCGCATTTTCCAGCTCCAAAAGCGAGCTGTTCGATATTCACTGGGACTAAACAGCAGAACTCATTGCCGGGACTTTTTTAAAGAATTAAAAATATTGACTCTTCCTTCCTTATTTATATTTGAATCCGTTTGCCTAATACGTAAACATGTATCAGCTTCTCAAGAAAGGTCATTTCACACTTATCCACTCAGGAACGCGGAGCAAGATCTTTATCTACCCCACGCTCAGAGTTAGTTAAAAGTTCAATATTATACAACTCGAAAAAAATGCACAATCACCTGCCATTTGAAATGAAATCCATAACATCATTTTTTTCATTTCGCAAAGCATTATTTACTAGACAAGGCTTTCTACGCCGTAAATGAATTATATTTTGAAAATCGAATTTGATCTTGTAAACACTGGTCTAATGTTTGCTATTGCTATATTTACTAATGACATCGAAATAAATTTATTTAGAGGTCATTGATATTTTACTATAAACTAACTAAATATTTTTGAATATTATTTTTATTTTTTTGTTCTTTGACATTGTAAACATTTATAAATGTTTATTATAAACAATAAGACTGACAATATTATTTGTATAATGTTTTGTATTATCTTTTGTTTGGTTGTTTGTGTACCTTGTTTTTTTACTTTGTTTGTTAGTTTACCTTTGTCTACAAGTTGAAAATTTTTTTGACAATAAAGGCGTTTATTTATTTATAAAATTTATTTATAAATATTACACATTTTAATACGTTTAACGAAAATATGTTCGGATGAAAAATCTGTGTTTATGTATTGAACATTTATTCGTTTTATATCTATTCGTATTGATTTAAGTAAAAATATTTTATATTATCTTATCTTTTCCAAACGTATTATATAAAAAATAATACCGCATGATCGAAAAAACGGTGTCCAGTTGGCTTGGAAATGAACATCGATGACATTTTCCATATAATTTTACATATAAAATAACAGCGATCTTTATTTCATAGCTATCGCTGACGCCGTTTTTTTTTCGATCATTTAATATTTCGAATTATTTATACGTATAACGAACTCTAATTACTGAAAGTAGAGAATAATGTATCTGAATTAATTATTAATAGGATTATCTTTCAGTCCTTCATCTGCTATATTAACACAGTTAATATTTCTGAATAATTCAGGAAATAATTAAAATTATTCCAGCCCAAAGATAAGATCAATATTGACCTCTCACATATATGTACACTAAAACAGCTATTTAAATATCTTAAATTACACTAGATAAAATCTTATTTGCGTGACATTATTTAGGAAAATATAATATCAGTATTTGCCTATTTAGTATTATACACTTTCATTTACACAATCAAACTCTATATACGACGAACAAAACTTTCGGTTCCACTTACATCTCAAAAAATGATTAATCCAATAAAACAGTTAGATGTTTTAAAACAAAATTATCCAGACCATCTAAAGTTGTATGAAAACAGTGACACTATCGTATATAAGTGCGTTGTAGTACTTGTGGGATATCGAAAATTGATTAGAATTATCCAACTAGTTTCTGCTCTCTTACATATATCTGGATTAGTATATTCAACATACGAGATGTTTACTGTTTTTTATCCAGATAACGATATTGAAAATATCGTTTCAATTTTAGTCGATTCCTTTTTTCATGTTTTACTCGTTTTTACTAATGCCTACTGTATATTTAGCATATCAAAAGACGGCCTGTTGTATGATCTGGCACGCTTTCTACGAAATCAAAGTACAAAAAATGTAAAATACACTACAAAGTTTAAGAAATGGTTACTTACTTTACATATAATTACCCTGGTTCCGCTGGCTATCAACCTCTACTTGCTGGCTTTTAAGATAGGTTGGGATACATACAAATATATCATCTCTAGAGATCTAGAGCACTATTATTTTAACTTTACCGGATGTGCGTTCATGGCGTTCGCTCAAAAAATAAAACAGAAATATGCCGATTTAAACCAATTGTTATCTGAAGTTGAAGAGAAGTTCTTTACAGAAACTGTTGAGACCCATCCAAAAATAAATAGTGTGTCGTTATTGAAGTTTTACAAATGTTTGGAGAAACTAGTGAACATAACAGAGATGCATAACGCTTTGTGTGACTATTTGGATAAATTTAATAAAACGTTCAAGTTCAGCTTAGCTTTGATATTATGGTGTATTATTGGCAATCTTGTATGGCACATTACCGTTATAATAGAGTTTAACTCTAAGCCAAGAGAATTTAATGGTAATGACGTTAGAGTGTACGTTGTAATATCGTACGTTATTTTGATCTTTGTAACATGGGTAAGTTTTAGTGAATTCCAAAGACATCTAAATGGGTAGACAGAACACACCATTCATAAAACGTAATTTTTTAGAAACTTTTATGAGAGTTAAAAAGAGATAGGTACATAAATATGACAACACGGTTGAGTTTCGTCTATCTTTCTGTCATTTGGCTCTATCAGTGGCGTGGCGGTGGCGTGATGTTTTTTTTTATCAAAAATTGATGAATTTTATTAGTGATGTAAAAATTCTAAGTAATCGTTACAAAGTAACAGTTACTTTACGAGGACTCGAAGTAACGCTTACTATTTGAATTTAGGACTCGTTTCTCGTTACTAAGCTAATTCGTTACTTTTGCGCCTGCAGTGATCGTAATCCCTGGAAATGCACGAACCGAGGACTTGAAACTCGATACCTACTGAAATATTCCTTACTTCGACGTAGGTCTAGTTATTATCAATATGTTTATGGTTAAAGTGTTGACTTGACGCCGCACGGTGGG